AAATTGATTCAAAAGGTCGTGTGGTCGATGGAGTTATAGAATCTAAAGCAGCATGTTAATATCGTCAACAACAATTGACATGACAAAAAGGTATTGGAACCACTAACCTCAATCATCATTACAAAGTATGTACGGCCAAACGCAAGCTTCTTCCTACCAATCAAACGCAACTGCAATTTGGTATTCGAGGCACCAGTTTTACTACTACTACTCCAATTTCTACGTGGATGCATTCGGAGGAGAAAACTCCAACGTAAATTGTGAAGTTCGTTGTTGTTGTTGAGTTGCCTCTAGCAGTAGTGCACAACCAATATTTTGTCTCATGCATGAAAAAATATCTTCAATCGAGGTACGTTGGGGTAAGTTAAAACACTCTTCGTTTATATACAATTGAATATTTCCTTCATACAAAAAAACTATTGATTGCCGATTTAGAAAAATATGGGGGTGTTATATCTTTAACTTCGGATATATGATAAGAGATTAATAAAAGATGTTATATAGTTGCAACAGCACACTACATAGACTCACTTTGGTGTATGCATAAAAAAATTATTGATTTTAAAATTATTGAGTTCCCTCACAACACTAACAACATATATAACGCTATTATGAACATTATTAGAGAATATCGTTGCGAGAGTAAAATTTGCTCATTTACATTTGACAACGCTAGTGTTAATAAGATAGTTATCGATAAATTGTGCAAAATACTGCAACCCGATTTCTATGATTATTTGTTTCATATTCGATGTACATGCCATATTTTAATTGAATAGTGCAAGACGGTTTGAAACATATTAAGAATGAAATTTAAAGAATTAGAGATTCACTAGTGTATATCATGATTTTACCTAGTAGAAAATAAGCATTTGAGGAATTTTGTGCCGAATCTGAGTTAACAAATATGAAAACATTTATTAGTGACGTATGGTATAGATGGAACTCCACTTACCTATTATTAAAATCATGGAAAGACTTTGAACATTTAATAACATAATTTTATAACAATAGGCATATTAGAAACGATGATGATACTATTTTGATTGAATCCGATTGGATTTTAGCTTTTAAAATTAAAACGTTTTTGACAAGTTTTTATGATTCTATAAATATTTTCTCTGGAGTTTACTATCCCACTAGTTGTATGGTACTTGAACGTCTTTATATAATTGTTAGTACTTTTTATAGATATAAAAATGTCCCTGATTTTAGTGCAATTATATATTCCATGGAATTAAAGTTTAGAAAATATTAGGAAGACTTGCCTATGTTATTTTTATTAGCATGCATTATGGACCTTCAATATAATTTATCGGATACTAAATTTGAAATTAATCAAATTTCAAAATCTTTAACTTTTAATACACCAATCACTTATAAAAATTTAGAACAAATTTTATGTGAAATATATGAATTATATGTAGAAAGAATATGTACAAATATTAATCGGGTACTCTCTGCACCTACTTCTCCCACTGATATACCAGAAGACGACGTTGAAATATTAATTGTTTTCGAAGGCATTAACTCATATAGATATTATGCAAATGCATGTGGTTCTTCTTGTAGTAGTTTGTCTACCACATGTAATCAAACATCGGATGCAAGTCCAAATGCACTACCTGCTCAATTTATTGATCACCTTAATCATAATATGCCTAATAACAA